GTGAGGCGGATAGACGCGTGTACACAGCAACATTAGCACATGGAGATCATCCTAGCCGGTGATTTTAATGCGCAGAACACATCCTGGGGCTATACGCGTACCACCGAAACCGGAATTCGTTTCGAACGCAAAACTCAGGACAACAGATATACGCTCCTTAACGACACAACGGACCCCACGCGACAGGACAACAGCGTTGAGCGGGACACTAACCCAGACCTCAGCTGGCACCACGGTGTGGGAAACGTCACGTGGACGAATCTTTACGAAAACCTAGGCAGTGATTATCTCATCGTCGAAATCGCCCAAGCTGATCCTCACATCAAGCCCCGTCCCGCTCACTCAGGCCCAAAAACACAACTCACTGACTGGCACCGGTTTTGATTAGACCTAGACGAGGTACACGGGCCGACAGATCTAGTCTTGGGTCAACGCCATACGTGAAACAAAATCGAAGCACGCTAAAAATATCACATGCACACCTGAACACCTGCAAGTAGACTCTCACCTGATTAATCTTTGGAACAAGCGACACAGATTGGTCCAAAAATGGAAGAAACAAAAAGGAAATCGTGGCCTTTGCAAGGCCATCCAACAAATCACGCTAGAGGCTGACGAGTACGCGCAACAACTCTGTACTGAAAACTGGCTTGAGACGTGTGAAGAGCTAAATGGTGAACTCCACACTCCTAGTGTGTGGAAAATATTACGCACGCTTCTAGGACAGGGCTACACACGACACACAAGGGGCAAAATTATGATGCACTGTGGCAAGACGCGAGAACAGACAGCAGAAGAAATTTATCAAACGTTCTATCCGGTCGGCCCGAGTACAGAGCAACTTCCTAGCTATCCACCCGAATCACTCGACCAAATAGACACAGGCATCAACAGCAACTTTACGGTAGGTGAGCTACACGCGGCCCTATCTTCACTCAAACGAAACACGGCTCCAGGCAAAGACGGCATTACATACGCTACTCTTCGTAACCTCCCATTTCCACAATTAGAACAGCTTCTTGAATGCATCAACATCGTATGGGAATCTGGCAGCTTTCCACAAGAATGGAAAGCGGCAGTGATAATCCCAATCATCAAACCCAGTCAAGCCCCCCAACTCCATTACCAACCTTCGTCCGATCTCCCTCCCATCATGTGTAGGAAACTTAATGGAACGCATGGCTCTCAGCCGACTCTTTTGGCACATAGGAGGTAGCGACGCTCTCCCCTACACAATGACAGGCCTTCAATCACACGTCAGCACTCAGGAAATCATGCTCCGAAGTTCGGAGGATGTGTACCAAAATCTTAGCTTAGTCCAAACTCGAGCTATCACGGGAGTAGACATACACAAATCGTTCGATAACGTACCACATTCAGCCATCCTTACCAACCTCCTGACACTACGACCGGGCGCTCGCCTCTACAACTCTATAAAACCTTTCTTAAGTGGTCGTTATATACAAATTCAAATCAATGGAGAGCTTTCGACACCCAGAGCTTTAACTACGGGCGTCCTTCAATTTTCTATTCTTTCCCCCACTCTCTTTAATATAGCCCTACTTCACCTACCTGCCCAGCTTAGTTCTATATCCCACCTCCAACACAACATTTATGCAGATGACATTACAATTTAGTGTTGCAAAGGACCTCTTGGACAACAAGAACACACGATCCAGTCAGGACTGGATGTCATTCAGAACCCACTTAGCAGTATTGGCCTCTAATGCACTCCCACCAAATCCGAACTCATTGTAGTTACCAAACAGGCCGTAAAGCAGAAGAGCAACGCGACAGCATTAAGCTCCACATTGACCACACCCCTATTCCTCGCCACTCTCACATCCGAATACTAGGATTCCTCCTACAGGAAAATGGCAAGGCCCACGTATGAATGGACACGACGCTCCGGCAACTCAATCAGATTTACCACATGCTAAGTAGACAAAGAGGACGCAAGGAACTGGAGTTTCGCAGGACTATCGAGGCCCTTGTCTACTCTCGTTTACTGTACCAGCTTCCATATCAATCCATCATCGACACTCAGCTCTCCAAATTAGAAGCAGCGCTCCAAAGATACACCAGACTAGCCCTAGGAGTAGTGCGATTTGCCGCAAATTGTCTAGTGGCCTCGACTGGTCTTTTTAACACACTTGAAGAACGTATTACTATTTGCCGCCAAGCACATATTGCAAGGCTTCAAACATCCCCCCAAGGCCGCAAATTCCTCTAGCATCAAGGCTACGACACCACCACCTTGCCTCCTTTTCCACCACCCCTACCGTGGGAGTCCCTACCCCGCGTCACAGCCATGCCCATACCTCAACATATGCATCCCTACAAACATGCTGCCAGGCGCACACAACTAGTCGAACGGATAGAACACGAGACACCGAAAACGGATACCACATATTATTACACAGATGCCAGCCACAGTCCCAGCAGAAGCATAACGGCTGTAGTAGGGCCTGGATATAAGCATGTTGATGGACACAGCAATGTCCCCACCCCATCCGCCGCGGACACCCTAGCGGTTCTTGAAGCCATCACTGGACCTCATTATCCTACTAACCACATTTACGTTCAAGCAGATATCCAGAAAACATGACGCAGGTTTCGTGACCGTGCGCTACCTGGACATATCCACAGCCTTCTGCAACGTCACCTTGACACCCATCCCTCCCTCCACGTTACCCTGCAATGGATCCCCGGACAGCAAGGCGTAGAGGAACACAACCGAGCTCATCAGCTCATCCGCGTTACGAATTTTCCGGGTCCTCCGTGCCTCTGGCCGTCCGACTATGATCCCAGGGAACACAGAAAACTCTTGCGCAAGAAGCGTACATCTTCCCCAAGAGAACTACACGCTAACGCCGCCACAACTATCGCTCCACCCCAATCCCTCTGGCGGGAGGACAGCGCCATCCTCCGCAGACTTCAAACCAATTCGATCGTGACTCCCCTCTTTCGCCACTATATCCAGGGCCTTTTTGGACGCCCCAAATGCCCCAACTGCGGCGAATACCCCTCCCTAGAGCACTGAACGGCAATGCTCCTACATTCAACCTACCCTCCTATACTCTATTTCATCCCTATCCCCCAGTCTCCAACCTCATTCATGGACGGACTGGCTTAGTCCACCAACCGATGCCCATATTCTCCTGCCGGCACTCATTCAGCACGTGAAAAACATGTTGGGTGAGGACTGGCAGGTGACCAAATACAACTGAGCGCCGGACCTTTGCGTCTAAATAAAGAAAGTTTTTCTCTATCTTTCTCCGAGAGGGGGGTATGTGCTCATGATTCGGAGTATATCCGTCTATGGAGACTTCTCTTTGGTTCCATTGTTCTTAAATTCTTTGAGCTGCGCGTCTCAAAGTACCCGACGCTTCGACATTTCACTGATAAGCTGTTCGTTGAACTGGGCGCGATACACTTTGTCTTACTTGATGTGACGATCTGTGTTGAAAAAGACACGCCAAGTCGCTCAGTTCTTCTTTCGTTTCTCTGACTAGCGCTCCCACAAGCCGCTTCCGATTATAGACAGTTTTAGTGGACCGTACGCTATAGCTTTGCCTACGCAAGGAGATTGCGGGTCGTGAGTGCGCATGCGCAGAACGCAATAGAAGGGCTAGCGTATTGCGCACGCACGCAACGCTGGGGATTTTGCGTTGCTGGCTAGCGGGCATCGCGGGACGCTCTCGAGAGATCTCGGACCCAACGAGAGGGCCAGTTTCAAGATGGCGGTTGGCTCAACTGGCGCAGCAAGGGTGACGTGGTGTTTTTGAAGTTCTGTGTTACGTGAAATTGCATGGTGTTCAGCTCGACGATTCTTTCTGGGACTTACCGCGGTCGAATCAGATCGCCCTACAGCTGAAGGAGCGCACAGTCGAAATGTTCGCCGCTCGCAGTGTGCGTCGACGCTGCGATCTGCTCAATGCTAAGCCTATTCCCACAGTTCATCGCCGACGGACGAACGACTCTAAAAAAAATCGCCGAAGTTCTCGCTATGCACTGGACATCAAAATCATGAATTTCATTCCGCGATAGCAATGATAAAAGGTGCCGTTTCTACGGGACGACTGACGGAGGATCCATGATCGAATTTGGTTACGCACTCGTACTCGTAGCCTCTATATCCCGCAGAAAAGCGCCCTTGGCGAGGCAGCTGTGGCTTGTTTTAATCTGAAATAAAATGATTGGACACTTTTTCTTTTTCAATATTTCTTTCCGGGAGCATGGTTGCGCTATAAGCACGCGGAATTCTACGGCTCTAGCAAATTTAACCACGGATCATGCGCGGTGTTCACTCGAAAACGTATAACACACAGCTAAATTCGGTCCGAGCAGGTCATTCTTAGCGTACGCTACACTATTGCGTATTGCGTACGTAAGATCCAGCAGCGCTATACTAAAACTGTCTAGTGTCCCTTGCGCTCGCTACAGTTGGCACTCAGGTGAGGAAGTAAAGAAGAGCCGCGTAATTCATTGAGAAAACAAATCTTGAGGAAGGGGACAGCCATCCCCCTCCTCCATAATCTCCTGAACAGTTCCGACGCCACTGCTGAAGCAAAGAAGCTCGACCCGCCGGAAAAAAGAAACCGCAAGCCAGTCGCTTGCGTATTTTCTCTGCTTGTCTGCTTCAAGAAAGTGAAAACGCCGCCGTCCTATGCGCTAGCTTTCCCGTGATGCTTCTCCTCCTGTCACGTGATTTCCCGCATGCTGTGAGATGGACAGCGCGGAAGCTGCCGCTCTGCCGCGACGAAAAGGTTCCAACCCGGTAGAACCGCGCCGCTCAGCCGCTGCTGTTGGCCAGAGCGCCGCGACGGCAGAAATCGCGGCGCTCTACGGCCAAAATCGCTGCATGTGAAACTCGCTTTACATCTACAACGAATGCCCCTTTATCGCGTTGCCAACGATGGCGCGTTGCAAGTGGTTAAACGTTTCAAGCGGTTTACATGTAAAAGCAACCTGAGAAAATGACTGAAATCGACAGTAACAAAATCAAAATCGGTTTATTATCGTTGCGCGATTAGGACAATGCAATGCAAGGTGTAAAATTTGCAACTTAACCAAAGAAGCGGTACATTGAACACATACGAAATTGCTATTAATGTAATTTCTAATAAACAGACAAAAACTGTATAATCGATGCATAAATTCGCATCACGTAAGGTCCCTGTAGACTAGAACACGCCTTCAGCCGGGGACACACTGCTCATAAATCATGCGAGAACCAGTCTGCAAACACGAATCACCGGAATATCCGTGGTTCGAACGCCGTGCGACGAGTGTCTCTCGAACGCATTGCCATGCGGCGTTCGAAGCAGGGATCTCGCGGTCTCGCGGTGACTCGCATTCGAATCTGTATACAGACTGTCTTTTGTATGATGTATAAGCAGTGACGACCCCGGCTTTACTGTGCGTAGTTGTCACACGTGGTTTGTTTAATTTTGGGCGGACTTATTTCGTATTGTACAGTCCTTGGTTTTTTCATCAGGGTTGTTGCCCATAATCTCTAAATTTAAACTAAGCAGGCTCGTCAAAATCTTCACCCCAATATGACGTCAAGATATTTTGATGACAATATATCTTCAGGTTCATATTCGTGACCTCGGAACCTGTATTCGGTTGATTGCCCGTTATTCCGGTCTGAATATACAAAGCCGAGACGCACTGGTAACACATCATAAAAAAGAGGCAGTCCGCATACACAGTCTGTGGCGTGTTTGTTCCTTGTACACATTGGTCACACCAACAATGTCTTGAGACATGTTCCAAGCAAACATGCACCGAACATGCGTGAAGTTTGTCTGTAGCTAATTATGTTATCATGACTGCAGTGAGCACCGTGTCTCCTGCATGATGTCTGCGGAGTGTGGCTGCGGCTTGAAGATGACAAGCAATGTGAATGGTGCCCGCACGCTCCCTCTCCGTAGACTTCACTTAACTCATTGTCTACGCGGATTGTTCGTTTTTTGCTGTTATATTTCATCTGAGTGCGAAAATCAGATAAGCCTTTGTTCTGGATGTATAATGACGTCGTCAGTTAAAATGCCGAAGCCTTGATGCTGTGTTTCTCGATGCCTTCGCAGGTCCACTTTTCTCTGGAAGGCTCTTCCGCAGACGTCACAGGCGAAAGGCTTGAATCCCGTGTGTTTTCGGCTATGGGTGATCAGGTTGGAGGACTGGCTGAAGGCCTTGCCGCACACTTTGCACTTGTGAGGTTTTTCACCTGTGGAAGAAAGAAGCCATAAGAAATAAGCAACTCGAGTCTCAAAACAGAATAAACTGGATTGTTGTTTGTTGTGGCGTAAGAATCGCGGGAGAATGACCGCCCTCTCCGACACCAGTGGCAGGTGTTAGAAACCGTTGATGTGACTATTCTGAAAAATTTACAACGTTAGGTTCATACAGCTGTGTGTGGTTAGGTCATATAATGTTTTGCGGAGTTTAATTCTGTGACACGAGAATATAATGTATTTTATTTTTCTCCAGGAATTGAAGGGTGAAGCTTACGGAGTTTCTTGAGGGCGGGACTGTAGGAGCGTCCTGTGTCCTCTCTTTTATATTCCCCTTTACACTGTGCCCCGCAACTTACATGTCCTTCATAATACGCCCTGCATTGCACAGGTCCTTAATACTTGAAGATAAAGCAAGTAGGCAGGCCAGCTGCTTAAGGATGGACATGGGTTACAATGTCTGTCCTTAATATTGTGCCCCGTCTCATCCTAGCCCTTCACATTATGCCATATTTTTACAAGACCTTAATACTGTGCCAATTTTCTACATGCCCTTCACACTGTTCTATGTTTTACAAATCACTCATACTCTGTGCTTTGTTTTACAAGACCCTTCATACTGTGGTCTGTCTTTTACAGGTTTTGCACATTGCGTGTTGCCTTTTATAAGCACCTCCATTCTGTGCCCCGCATTTTACAGGTCTTTTATACTGTGCCATGTATCGTGTAGTGTCCGTCGTCGACTGGACACTATACTTGACATGTATTATACCAATTTTAGAGAACGCCAGCATCTCATGGGATCCCTCTTAGGCCTATTTTGTCTCGTCTATCTTATTGATCAACTGGATTTTGTCGATTAACTATACCTTTGGATGGTGTGTTAGTCTAATTTAAAATCAACTATGACTTAACACTCTTAATTCACAGAGGGTCATTCCCGCGATTAAAACTATCACAGAGTCTCAGATTGAATGGACAAATCCCAGTGTATGCTGCCTCCCCACTTCGCATTCAGAAGCTAGACCACTTTAAAGTGGCTCGATAATATTTGTGGACAACGGAAGTCCTCAAACATTCTTTTTCTTCTACCCTTTTACGGCGGGCAAATATGAGATTGTGCACATGACGTATACCGCACTGTTTTTCTATCATCTACTCAACATTTTTTTTTTTTAGGTTCACTTTTTTAGGTTTTTCTGATTATTTGTTTCTCCTTTATATTATCATTAAACCGAAACCTGCGCACGCTCGTTCCAAAGTAAGTTGCATTTGTACCGTTAGAAAAAATGTACAAGCATCCTATACTCGCAATAATGCCTTTTAATTTCTAAAAGGTAACCCTAATAAATAAATAAATAAATAAAAGAACATTGAACACTGTAAAGCGCCACGCTAAATGGCACAACGCTAGCCCTTTTTTTTTTTTTTGCGGTCGTTTCGCGAGGGATTATGAGCTCCAGATTTCTTAAACTGCAGTCACATATCATAAAAACGACACGATGTTCGCTAAAGAACATGATGAGACAAATATCTGAGGATCCGCCTCAGACAAGTTTCGAAATATGTTTCTTTCAATATGCTTCGAACATCTTTGCAAACTAATTTTTCTTCGTTTCATTACCAATGTGGAAGCACGCCTCAAGACAGCAGGGAGTTTTAGGGAACCGTTCTTGCGCATCCGAGGCGGTACGATGAGCCCTCCGGTAGGCACTGCGCTTGCGCTACAGCAGAAGACAACCATACGCGCAGTCTGCACCGGAGGTTCCATCATTCCATATCGGACGTGCAAAAACAGTTTCCTAAAACTCCGTACTGCCTGCAGGCCGTCCTTCTTACGATCCATTCGCAGTCTGACCAAGGCTTTACGGTGCAGCAGCATGACGACGGAGTCCCCACTCACCGGTGTGTATGTAGGTGTGCTTCTTCATGTCCGACTTCTGGTGGAAGCGCTTCCCACAGTACTCGCACGGGTAGGGCCGGGTGTCCGAGTGAATGAGCAGGTGAGTAGACAGCGTCGAGGAGCGCTTGAACCGCTTGCCGCACTGCTTGCACTCGAACGTCCTGGGGCTCGGGTGGAGGGACCGCGGCTGCCGCGACAGCACCGGGTCGGAGAAGGCGGCGGGATAGTGCGAGCGACACGGGGCCGGCGCCTCGGGCCCGGCAGCCAATGTGGAGTCACTCGCGGGACGGCGCGCGGCCTGAGAGCCGCTGCTGCACCTCCGCGAATGGAAGTCCCGGGCACCGCCGGTACTGCGTATCCGAGAAGGGGCTAATTTGAGGGAATTACGCGCGTCAAACCCAAAATTACCAACGAAGAGAAACTGGCACGCCTCGGCGGAGCAGAACAGGGCATTAATTTCGACCAACTCGGGATCTTTTCGAGGTGCGACCGAAATCTCAGTGACGCGGAACCCTTTTCCGCAAATTATCCTCCGTCCGATTGCGGGGCGCCTCGGCCGGGAATATACGGAGCGCAAGTTCGTCCGCTTCTTTCACAGGAGTCGCGATGATGTCGAAACGCCGAGCTCTTATGGGCCGATGGGAAGCAAAAATAGTGGATAGACCTTGAGGCATCTAGCGTCGGGGTTCACCCACTGTCCTTTCGATCGAAGCCAGTCGGAGCTCGGCTTTGTTCTGACGTCACCGCAACTTCTTCCCAAAAAAGTAGACGACTCGGTCTCCGCATATGTGATTGACAGCGCGAGAAACCGCTCTGCGTGGATTATGTTCTCTTATCTCGCCTCGCGATTGGTCCTCCGGTGTTCCTTATCGCCTAACGCCACACTCTAAAAACGTTTGTGCGTCTACATCCACGCACAACACTCCAAAAGCAAATCGGCGCAACTTACGGAGGCAGCTCAGCGAATGACAATGCCGAAACATATGTTTAGACCAAAAAACGCAGTCTGGGTTGTGATATTAAGCAATGCGAGCGTGACGTTTTGCATTGCTTAATATCACAACTCAGACTGCATTTTTGGTCTAAACATATGTTTCCGCATCGTCATTCGCTGAGCTGCCTCTGTAAGTTGCGCTGGTTGGCTCTACGAGTGTTGTGCGTGAAAGTAGACGCACAGACATTTTTTAAAGTGCACGATATCATAGGCTGACGAGCGATAAGATGTTGGGGATTCGCCACACCCTTCGTTTCTTTGGCTGTCCGTGGGCGCCTAGGAGCCACTGAGGGAAGGCGTATACTGGAGAGAAAACATCGATCGGCTCAACCGTCTTTCGCTCTGCACAGACATTAGAAAGTTGTAGGAACCAGTTTTTACACATTCGATACAATACGATGGGCTTTCCGTTGCCCACTGCGCATATGCTACTGCGGAAGACTCGAACATGCGCAGTGCACACCGGAGGGCACATCGTACCGCATCGGATATGCAAAAACGGTTCCCTAAAACACTCTATTCCCGTGACCGTATTTCGGGTGTTCCGTTTCACTTTTAGTCGGACCGCAGCTGACAATCTGAGGAAGACAATAAGGTGGCGCACAAGAATGCATCGTCCGGTGCTCATCGCCCTTGTTCGTTTGCGATCGCCACGACTAAACCAATGACGCACAAAAAATGCACCCCGATCTAGCGCTTTTTGTTTTCTGCGCAAGTTTAGTTGGCGTTAGCGAACCCACAAAAACAACGAGCGCCATGATGATGCATTTTTGACCCTGCTTCATTTGCTCCATAGGATGGAAGCGTCGGCCGGGGGGGTGCGACTCGAAATGAAAAGGAATGTACACCATCTCTCTCTATGCGGAGAGCAAGTCGTCTGGTTCTTTTGCAGGGGTTATTGTGACGTCAGAGCCGCGCAGAGTTCTGATTTACTCTGACTGAAGGAGAGTGAGTAGACCTCAAAGCAAGCTGCCATGAAGTCTACCCACTATCCTTCAAGCAGAGCCAAGCAGAGCTCGGCGACGTAACCACAGCCCCTGGAAAAGAAGCAGACGACTTGCTCTCCTCATTAGACTGTATAGACCGCGATCTCAGCATACGTTGCGGGTCTTTTCGGCGGCGAAATTTCGTTTACTCTGCGCTTGCGGCAACATCTAGCCCAGTGACGAATGCGACGTTTCAACCGGGTGATAAGCACTGGAACGGTGTATATAGACGTTTGCAAGTACAGTCTCCGGGCGCCGCCATCTTGCTGCTGGTGTGGGCAGGTTGTCCGATAGGCTAGCGTTGCTGAAACGTACCCTCGGCCTCAGCAATCCTTGACTATCTGGCGATATGCCCACACCAACAGCAGGATGGCGGCGTCCAGAGGCCGCACTTCCAAAGGTCTATAGTCACTCAGGCCTTCAGAAAGGCAGGGCGTATGGCCTTATCGCGATCACGCTTCTCGCTCAGTGATTCGTCCTTCGGCGTTCTGGTTGCCTCGTGCCGCAATCTCGTTGGCTGCTCAGCTTTAAAAATATGGCCGACGCACACCGTGCCCCGAGAATTTCTTCGACTGCCATTGACTGGTACGTAGGATCTGCCTCCGTGGCTCCGCGATTACTTTGTTTGTTTTTTACGCTCGCAATTAGTATTTGGGTGCGGCCCCTAGGGATACGGTTTTCATTTTCGACACGTACGTCGATTCCCCGTGTTCTTCAGCTTTTATGCTCACCTCAGATAATAGTGTAAATATATTTCCTCATTTCTTCGCCCGATCCGTGAATTCCGAGGCCTCGCCTCGAGCGCGAAGGGAGGGTCGGTGGCCGCGTGTGCGAACGCGGCGGGGCTCGGAGGACGTGGAGCGAAAGATTGAACTGCAGAACCCGGGGAAACCGGAGTTTAATCCCTACCCTCGCCCGTTTCCATCTGGATGCGCATCGCAATGGCCTGCGGTCGCGTATTCCTACCGGTTGACGCCCTGATGCACGTTAAAGACGCCAGGCTAGCGGTGGCATACCACACAGTGGATAAAATTGCTCACCTAAGGCGGAGACACGAGACGCTCATTTGGGCCGACTCACTTCCCATTGTATTACCAAACACGCGAGAGACTTTCGATCACACTGCGCTGTTGGCAGCTTCGATGGCATTAAATACTCACGGGAAGCTCCTGTGGCAGTGAATGCATTGATGGTCCTCGGGTTCCGTTTTCAATCCCAAAAGCGCCTGGATTGAATAGTCTGTGGGCACGTTCAAGGATCCGGCGCTGTTCTCCTGCTGGCCAGGACTCTGACTGGGACTGCGGGAGATATCTGCAAACCCACATAGCCATGTAAAACTCGAACAAAATTGTGCTGTTGCAAACTCCGCCTTTGTTTTTGTTTCTGATGATGAGCGTATACTTGTTGGGTAGCACGAGTTGACGTGACACGTACCACATGTCTAGAGCCCTGCATTTAGGCGGATAACCGGCGGATATCCCCAGTCAACTAGCGGATGCGGATAAAATTGAATTCGAATTGGCGGATTGCGGATTGGATGCGGATGCCAGGAGCTGCGAATGCGGATCGGATGCGGATATCCGGGGGGTCGTATCTACATGTTTGCCGAGGTGGCTCATAAACGTGTGCGACCGTAGAGAGTAGAGTGATTAGGTGAGTGATACAGAAACATCCTCCAGCACGAGTTTCCGTACCTCCCTCTTCTAGCGCCCTTCGTGTATGCCACCCGGCATCAAATGTACCAGAGGAAAGAGTCATCATTACTGGGTCTTAATTTAAGGGAGACAAACAACTCTGAATCGACCCATGGTGACGCGATTTTGTTTCTTCTACAAAGCAACCTAGACAAATAAAACGTTACGTGCGTGTTCGTTTTTTTTTTCTTCGTTTTTCTGCTTTTCACAGTTGGTATGTTGTTCCTATGTATGCGGTTCTTGAGGGTTCGTGTTTAAAGCTGAAATCGATAGGAGGTGCTGACATTATTGAATATTGATATTTTCTCAGTGGTGTACTAACACAATATAACCGAGTACTTTGCTGCGGTGACTGACCAATTTCCCTCTCCCATTGATTTTAGTGTTTGGCCTAAGTGAGATGACGGAATGTTCTTTGTTAATATTTATGTTTATAAAATGTGTCTGCATGATGTGAGTTTTACAAAGCAAAAAAAAAAAAAAAGCATTTCTTTGTTAGCGCATATTCTGGACATGTTGTCGCCAACTCCCAAGACGATCTTATAACTGCGATCATCTTTCCACCGATGCAAAGTGTCTCTCGAAGGATGATCACTTATATTATAAATACGATAAAGCAGAGCATATGATAAAACGAGTTTTATCAGATTCTGACTCGAAAAATTTCTTGTACAAAAGTAAGCACACGGCTTATCGGATACCATTCAGATAACTTATATATATATATATATATATATATATATATATTCATGCTTAATTTCACGACGTAAAATTAATCCGCGGATTCCGGGTCCGATGTGGTTCCGAATTTTGCGGATGCAATTCGAATGCGGATGATCTAAGTGTTTTTCGCGCAGGGCTCTAGCCACGTCCTATAGAAACGTAGAAATGACAAACCATGTGTCCCTGTGGAAAAAAAAAAACAGAAAGCGCATACACAAAATATATATATATATATATTTTTTTTTTTTGTGCCAAAAAGTGGCACGAATAAGTTTTTTTTCATCTCTTGGCTACACATGGCGTTATAGGTAAATATATAGAATAGCCCGTTTTGGAGCGGCAGGTAGCAAATCGAAACTGTATACCCAAATGGTAGAGCGTCCGTGCTCTTTCTACACCACCTGTTTCTGCTCTTATCTTCCGTGCTCTTTCCGTTCATCTCCACCCCGCGCGCTTTCTCAGACCACCTCCTTCAGCTCCTTCCGCTCCTGCATCCTGGTCCGTAGCTCAATCAGCAACGAACTCGGCTTCCTCGCCGGCAACCCGTGTTCAATCCCTTACACCGGTTGTTTTTTTTTTTTTGTTTTTTTTAGAGCGCAACTCTTAAGCGCCCGTTTCCGGCTTGAGCGGCGTCGGCGTCGGTGTAACCGCGAGCCCCCCCCCCCCCTACCCCCCCCGCCCCCCCCCCAAGGACCTCGGGAGGACCTTGGGTTCCTTCGGGAGGACCTCGGGAGGACCTCGGGTTCCTTCGGTAAGACCTCGGGTTGCTTCGGGAAGACCTCGGGTACCTTCGGTGACCCCTCCCCGAGGTCACGTGACCCCCCCTCCCTGAGGTCACCTGACCCCCACCCCCCCCCAGGTCAGACCCCCCTCCCCGAGGTCACGTGACCCCCCCTCCTCGGAATCACGTGCCCCCCCCCTCCCCGAGGTCACGTGACCCCCCCCCCCCCGCCGAGGTCACGCAACCCCCCCCCCCTCAATGCCTTTCCCTTCTCCTTCCCAAGAGCTGCGCTCTAATTTGGCGTTACAGGGAGTTCTAAACGGCTTTCAATTTTTTTTAGGTTTTTTAGCGGCTATATACGGTCTGACCGACCTACACATTTCGTACTTCCGCAACTCCTGAGGTTGGTCGTCCCTGTAAAGCTAGTGCCTTCAACAACTTCCATTTTCCTAAATACACATCATTAGCAGATTGATCACTTTTTGTATCGACAATCTTCTAATCTTAAGGTCAGACTTAAGAGATGCTGGCTTCCTGACCAATGCAGCTCAGAAGTGCCTTGCATTCGGGACGCTACAAATGGGCGTGAATTCGTAATCAAACCCTCTCAAACGTGCGATCTATTCGGTAGTAGTTGCCGCCTCAACTGTCCGAGTTCGCCTTTGTTTGGGCGCCTTCTCTGAACATACATTAGACACGAGGGTTGCGCCAGCGCTTGTCCAGGACTCCAATCCAAACAACCATGTGTCTTTGGTCAAGAAATTTTCTGCACAAATCACGCAAAGTATTATTAAAATAAAAATTTGCGTTCGGCTTTGCATGAAAATAAAACACCGCTCAAAAAGTGATTTTGTGATTTCTTTTTTTTTTTAGAACAGCCTCTTAATTATTATGATAGGAATTGAAAACATTAGACAAGTTTGGTGGTAGTCTGTATGTTATATTTCTCGGTTTTGAAAAACTATTCTACTTCCACTCCTAAATTCATTTCCCTCCCCTTCCCCCCTCCTTTTTTTTTTACTCTGATGGCTTGTGATTTTGTAGGTATCTGAATAAATGAAAACAATAACTAAATAGGAAATAAACACCAACTGAGTGCGTCCCGTGTTTCGCTCTTTTTAACCTGCCCGTTAATGCAGTAACTCAACCTCATCAGCAGGATCTATCAGGATTGAAGCATTATTTTTTGGCACAATATCTGCAATACATGTCCGCGCTACCACCGGAATGGTGAGCCAGAGGAGTGCGTAACAAGAACGTTTTACAAGAGGTCGCTAACCGTCTGGAAGTCAAAGGAGGTTATACCTTGTTCTTTTTTCAGTGAATACAGTTCCCGGCAATTCTAGTGGAGCTCATGAGATGACCCAAGTCTGAAATCTCCTACCTCGCCTCCTCGCCTACCGCTCCTTCTTACTCTACCCCTGGTCGATCGGCCTCCCCAATAACCAACCAGCGTTGAGCAGCTCACTCCTCCTCTCCCACCTGTCAACCAATCAGTGTCGAGCCTCTCGCCCACGCTTTTATCCAGGCTTCACTTTGGTCTGGGGTACACGAAATGCCGAACACCTTTACTCAGTTCACCCCTAGGCTGAGACTGCGGCGGAAGCTGCGGCTTAGTTGGAAAAGTCTACGCCTCCCTTTCGCCACGTCAACACGCTCCCGGCCATACCCACGCGCGGAGAGTGGGGTCAGGTGATAAGAGGGCGGCTGATTGGTCCGGCGGGCTTGTAGTCTCAGCTTAAGGCTGAACGGAATATAACCAAAGAGTGTTTAACTTAAAAGGAAAAGGAAAGGTCGCTCACCCTCGTCGCTGCGCAAAGCCGTCCAGTCGACCGAGGGGAACCTCATTAGGGGGCCCCCACCTGAAACCAAAAAAAACGTATCTAGAGTTCTGAATCGGAATCAACCACCGTTTGAAGGAGCAATTTATAGTGCGTCGAATGACGCTAACAAAAACATGCTATTTTCAATGGGTCACAAAAAAGCACAAAAAAAGCCTACTAAGATATACTTAAAAAATCAGTTTAGAGTGCTCATGTTCTGAACTTTTCTATTTGTTTTATAACTTTAGCGTCGCCAATCCCGAGCGCTAAACACAAAACGCATTTTTAATATAATTTATAGAAATGGGACTGCCTCCGAAACCAAACAACTTTACTTTTTTTTTTTGTGCCTAGACATTTGTTGTTGTTTGTTGTTATTATTTTCGACACCTGAGTGCTTGGTTTAAAAGGCCCACATTATTTTCGCGTAATCTTTTTCTCGGTGACTTTGTCATCCCCTCTCGTGCACTCTGTAAGGTACTTTGTATACGTCCTCCAAAAAAAACTTATAAACATAAAACTATAATGCAAACACAAAGGCTTCTAGATATGGACTGTTTTTTGTATAAACTGCATGCTTCTCGACGAGTGTGAGCTCCACACCCTTTGATACCGTTTTATTGAACAGCAACCGTCCTCAAGCAGGGGCACATGTAGCGCAAGTACATAGAGCAGTAAAGAGCTTATAACAATAGGTTCCGTGTTTTCTGTAAGTACCGAAAACCCTGAATGGGAGCAGCTTTTGAATAAAAAATAACTTCGCAAAGCATAATTTTTTTTTTATTGACGATTGCAGTAGTTGTTGAGCTGCCTCCGAGGCTGCTTCGTTCTTCAAAACCATAGCCCTTATCTCGTATCATTCCCTCATTAGTACATGGGTGTTTTCTAACTATTCGACCCACGCTCGTGTTACCTGGCGTTTGGGTACCTCGGAACTCCACCCCGATAAACACCAATCCTTTTTTTTTTTTTTTTGTCTGGTACCAAACTTGAAACACATCAAATCTTAAGAGAAAAAAAAAAACAGGAAAAAAGACAGTCCACAGTTTCAAGAAACGTCAATATTCAAAACACGGAACCCTACTTATGAACGCGATTCATCTGCGCGTAGATGTTTTATGCCTGTCTTTTGCGGTATCCCCATACTCACTGCCAGCTTAAAGGGACACTGACAGAGTATTTATGCCCGCCAAGTTTTTTTTATTTGAACATGACATAGGGGAGCCCAACTACTCAGCACACAATTTGCTGCACGAAATTCGTTTTCTTTCTGCCCCAAAACCGCCGATCGAGAACTGGCCAGTTTGAGTAACGCTCACTCCCTTCTCCGTGGTCACGTGCCGTATTTTTTGGTTCAGACACAACCCCCAAAGATGATCAAGGTTGTGAGTCATCGAAGGCACATACTCAATGCTAAAAATAGACAAAAAATATAACCAGTGTTTGTGGCTTCTAAAATAATACAAATACGTTGTTGAAAAGAAGAAGAAGAAAAAAGCTAGCACAGCCACGTGACTTCCCGTAACGTTTTCCACCTCTATTCGTGACTACAATTCACTATAGGTGGCGCCACTCGTTTTTTTTTTTTTTTTAAATGGCGGGTTTGGTGAGGGTCGGAGATGCGTGCCGCCGCTGAGCCTGTCTAGTGTAATAATACTAGGAAGCTAGGGTGTTATGAGCGCAGGTCACCTCTTTATCCTGACAAGGAAAACGGAATTTCACGTAATATTTCGGTCGTAAAGTACGTCTTAATTCCGGAACAAAACCGAAACTAACCTTTATTTTGGATTTAATTTCTCAGTATAGGTCCTAATTTCAGATTTTTTCATAACTCAAGATGTGACTCGCACCGCAATTATTTAGCTAAAGAAGTTGTTCGCAGAAGCTTTTGTCCTTTTAAAGACAGGGTCTTTGATACACCTTAGAGGTAGCATAGAATATTATTATTTGTTGAAAAAATCAGTGCTGATATTTGTGCGTTCTTGCTGCGTTTTTTCGCTCAGATAATTGTCATATAGACTAATGAACTGCGGGCCTTTTAAAGGCTTTTCAGGTATTTAGGTGATTAATCACCTAAACATTTTTCCCGATACAAGAATAACAGAATAAATCCAATTTATACATTATGCTCACAAAACGTCTGAAATAAGAAACGCTGTTCTCACTAGAAAAATTCAAAGACGGACTCCGAGTGAGGCAGCTGAAGTGTGCGTGTTTTTAAAGCAACGGCGTGACGCATATGAGTTTATTTTGCATTCAGTGTTTGACAGTTTGTCCATCTTATAATGATGTTAGAGGTTTTCATGTAATAAAAATAAAATAAAATGATACCTTTCAGGAAAGACTATTCTGGTTAAATGGCGCATTTTTGTGATAGTCGCGTTAATTGGGAGCATACATTGCCGCGATTTGTAGTAATAATAATATAAATATTAAAATTAAAATATTTTAATATGCAATTTTTCAAGCTCTAAAATAATTTGCTTATGAACTATTTACAAACGCGCTAACAAGTCTGACAATCTAAAATGAACTATATATCATCACTGGTGCCAAGTTATAAGATAAATAAAGTCTAAAATCGATGACAACATTCTAGCTAACGTGAGAAATTCATGTAAAATCAGATTAATTGAGGGTGCTATCAAAGTAGCGACTTTTGACAATTGGTAAAACTTCCAAAGTCACCGCGAATCCTTCCAGACGCCCCCCCCCCCCCCTCCCCTCCCCTCCCCCTCCCCCTTCCCCCCCCCCCCCCCCCTCCGGAAAACAAAGAAGCAAAAACGGATTATTTTTTTTAACTACTACTCTTCTTTAACATTTATTTACTTTCGTATTTACTCGCCATCGTCTTGCCAATCTCAGCCTTTCCACTTCAAAGGAACGTCTACCTGCTTGCGCGTCTGCTCACTGCAGCACGTTTCGTTGGCGTTGGAAGCCGGTAAAGCAGTAGTAAGTTTTCGTATTCCATATACAGACGCGAACGCAAGCGCTGTGTGTCTACGTTAGCTTTGCGTGCTCCACGCTGCGCGTACGCGGAGCCCAAAATTACGGTCTTGGACCGGAGCATGGCAACGACGCGCACGCGCAACGTGGAGCACGCCAGCCATACGCAAACGCGCAGTGCTTGCGTTTGCTTCTACACGCAATATTAAAACTCTCCAGTAAGGTACAATCTTACACCGGCTGCAGCACCACGTTGGGACAGTGAAGGTTGTTGTTCGCATTCGGAAATGACATTTAGCGAGCCATGATCGCGAGTCGTTCCGCCGTGCCCGCCGAGCAGGAGAATCGGGGGACCCTCACTAGAGCGCTTCCCGTTTCCGCCACGGGAGGGCGAGCGTCTAGCTGGAGACGCGAATATTCCTTCAACCTCCCCAGTCCAGTTCTGGTTTCGGTTTCCAACAGTTGCGTTTCTTTCTTTTTTTCTTTTCTTTCTTTTTATTATTAAGCATACGAGGGACGCTGTAGCAAAATATTGAATTAGTAGTCTTCTGACACCATAATAGATCGCCTGGCAAAACATAAACAAATATATTTAGGGTGTGTCAGCGTCCCTTTAAAAAACGCAGAGCGTGGTTTGATTGAGTTTATGCTTCGTAGTTTATTCCTTTGGCGTTTTTATTGGAAAATTCTGCAGTCTGATAGACTGCGCTGGAACTATGAGCTGCTTGGGATTCGCGGCGTTTTGCGTTTCTTGAGCTGTCAATAATACTCTAAGAAAAGGTCTGCAAGTTTGTTATTTTTTTGTTTTGTTTTGTTTTCCAGGAGAATACAAAGACAGCAAATCACGGCAAACAATGACAGAATCTGCACAAATGACGATGCTCTGTAAACGATTAGACCGATGCAGGGATTCGTTCGCTCGTTGCCCCTGCACCCTTGAAGTTTTTCGTTTTTTCAATCTTCCCAACTCTACACGTGACCTGCAGTCAGGGTAGCGGATGAAAATAAATCAATGAAGACGTTTGCTCTCTCTTCCCCTTTCTTTGTTGTTTTCTCTCTCTCTCTCTCTTCCTTTCTCTCGTTATTTTTATCTCTCTCTCGCTAATTTCTAATTGTATAAAGGGCTGTTGTTATCCGCTGGGATCTTTTTATTGTTCGCTTTGATAGGATGTCACCGCGTTCTTCGGGAAAGTGAACTCGCTTAATTTTTGTGAAATGTACGGCACTTTATAATTTTTGTAGAGTATACAAATACCAAGGTATCCCCCGCATTTGAAGAGAACTATAAAAATATATTTTTTTTTTTTTCAGTTTCTATGGGATGCTTGTTCTTGCAATTCCCGGTTAGCTGAACCGGGTATGTGGATGCTTGGTCACGTGCTGCCAATCAGAAAGGGAATAGAAAATTTCAGCATAGAGGGCACCTACCCTTCGTTTCCCCCAAACACCTTAAGGATTTGCATTGCACAACCGCGGAAGTTTGGCGCGTGCGCTATGCGATGCGCCAAGCTGTTTGGGGACCCAAAGCGTGAGTGCTTCCTATTCTAAAACTCCCAAATACAAGACAAAATACAACAAAAGAGCACAATGACATTCTATATACTAAAAGCTCACTTGTCGAGAGGAGAAAAAGCCAGGCTGTGGGATCGGACTCCCATATTTGCGAAATACTTCCGCATTCACACTTACCCTACCCGCGGAGCTGAATGTTGGGAGGTGATCACACCGAGAACAAACAATGTACACAAACGCTGAAATAAGCTGCTCTTAAATTATTGAATCTGTATTTATAGCTAAAAGTATTTATTGGCATAAGTTATCGTTGAGTGAAGTGAAATCACCCTTTATTTCACTGATGATTAGTATAGTTACTCTCTTTACTTTGTGCTTAGTTCTTAATACCATGAGCTTATTATTTTTTCCCGTCATGCCCAATATGTTAACACTATAATTATCTAAAGTCTTGAGCTTATAATGTTGTGACGGCGATCATTTTCTGTACATTTGTGTTTGTCTTTTGATTGCTCTATTATTTCCTCACTCTGTTGCTGCTGCTGAAGGCGGTCAGGAACCCGTCAAGCTGTTCCTCACAGCGTTATTTCCTGATCGCCACCATCCCCTTATGGTGGAAATAAACACTATTAATATTGTTATTATTATGTTATTCGAAGAAATATACCATGCACTTGAGAAGGAAACATAGATTGACTGTTATCGGTCGCAAACTTCGACAATTACGTCAATGCAAATTCGCGATATCAATCAAAAATTTGCGTTGCATTTTGGTGAAACTTTTCATTTTCATACTTCAACTTTAATATTATGTGGTGACACATCATTCATTTTAGGGTACGTCTAGTGTCTTCAGAGTACAGCTTTATTGTATAAATTATTATCTTTAAGAACAAGCTATACTTGAGTTGTCCAATCGATGCATAATCTCTTTGATGCATGGTTAGCTGCGGGAGAAAACTGGTATATAAGGGGGACGCGCAAACGGCACGTGTCTGTGAGTTTATTTCCTTGCTGATGGCTGTCCACGCCTGTTTGTCTCCGGAAAGTGGGACATGTACTTGCATAGAAGGAATAACGACCTCTTGACGCTATTTTGTTGAACTAGAAACGGAAAGCCCCGGTTATCCGAGGGCAAAGAACCTCAGAAGTTCGAGCACGTGGACCTGTGCAGAGGATGGACTACACTTGCAAAACACTATGACAAAACTAAAAAAAAAAAAAAAAAAATCGTTTTTTGCGTTGATTTTTTTTTTTTTTTTTTTTTTAGCGTTTTGACGACTTTTTATTTGTTGGAAAATCATGCACTTCTAGGGTTGTTTTTGTAGAGCATTTGAGGGCCTCTACATGCCAGTCAAAAGGAAGGTCGCAACTAATGTTCGCTCGCTTTCCTCTGGCATTGCAATGAACAGCGCGAACATTTGGTTCCGTGTAACGAAACAGCAATGTTTACTGCTAGTCTGCTGTTTCAGTCTGCGTACTTTTACAGTATATTGCATAGTTCTAACTGCTGGCCCAGTCTGTCTATTTAGTCTCTAAGTACACAGACTAAATCAGCAAATAGAACTAGCAGTGAACTTGGCTGTCCAAGTACGCAGACTGGTACAGCAGTTAGAACTAGCAATGAGCTTTGCTGTCTCATAATGCAGATTGCAACAGCAATTGACACTCTAGCAGTGAACTTCGCTCACTACCAGTCACGATCAAGCGCTGGAAAGGGTTGTCAACGGAAATCGTTGGAGTCATTTAGTACATATTAGTGCAACAATTTACCTTCTTTAAAAGGAACAAAATCTTTTACATATCTACTTTACCTCCCATGTTCACCTAGCGCCTAAAGACCGGTTCACATAGTGCGATTTGGCTTGTGAATTCAGAGCTACGACATCGGACACCAAGCTTCCCCCAGGTTTTTTGTCGCACGGGCAACCTCACAACTGCGAAATTGCAAGTAAAATCGCATCATGCGAATCGGACTTAACTCGCCGTTCTATCTGGACGTGTCATCGCACCTATAGTAAGACGATGCTGTGTGGACGGAACTTCACTGCAGAAAGGCCTTCGATTGTAAAGGGCACTCGCACCAGGAGACTGCGTTCTGATCTCATCCTCGGTAACGATAGGTTCATTTTTGAACGTGACATATCTTAAAGTTGTTTGCTATGATAACTTGGTAACAATAGTTAACTCTTGCTGCTAAGCGCAAACTTACAATGAGCGTCCACACCGCTTCCGCAACTTACACCTTATACCACTAGGACTGTAAATCTTCTTAGAAGATAAGTGCGGTATCGTTCTTAGCATCCGCTGTGAACGCTGCTTTTAATTATGGCGCCCAGTGAATACCAATTAACGCAATTTGTTGGGGTTGCGACAATTTTCGCTCTCAGCCGATATCGTGTCTTTCTTTTTTTCATCGCTCCACGTGCCAAACCACCACGTGCATCCACCATTTGTAAAACCATTCCTTTGCCATAAAAGGTGGTTCCAGCAAATTCCCCGAGATCTACCCTATAGAGCCACTGAGTGGCTTAGAAAGGGGTTTCTAAACTCTCGACCGCGGGCCAAATCCGGTCCGCGGAGGTCTTCCTACCGGCTCGCGGCAGGCCGCGGTCCTTCCAATAAAATCCAGGCTCGCGAAGTACCAAAAAAGCGAGAAAAAAGACAGAAAGCAGTTTATTGAAGGAGCGTCCTCTTGTTATATTATTCACTCGACATTGTTTTTCCAGCTGCATTACCATGTTTAGTTCCCTGTTTCACATATGTGCAAATTCGTATCTCGAACTTCTTGTACGTTACCACGCATATCGTGCCTAGTGTCCTGTATCGTATCTATTGCAGATTGTCAGTATATGTTATATCATTCTAATTAATCTTCTGCACTGTTGGAACGTGACAAAGTTTATTCGCACTTTAATTCATGTCTGGTGAGTTCTCAGGGTCACCATATTGTGCAATGTCATAATTTAGATTTAGCTCAATATTATATAAAAAATAAAGTTGTTTTCATCCAGCATACACTCGTCTCTCCTTTTTTTTGCGATAACTTGCAGTTTTGGAATTATTTACTTATTTAGGATTAGTTATTTAGTTTTTCCTCACTTGCGGTTACTTGCTTCATTTCCGGCCCTCGACACCTGCGACAGATCCCTGATCCGCCCCCTTAACAAAGAAACTTGGACAACCCTGACTTAGACTATCGATGCTTCATTCTCCAATCTGGCTGTGGGCGTCGCTATTTTGGTGCTCAATCGACAGCGGGAGCAATAGATCTCTCGCGAAATAGAAACAATCTTGGAGGTGTAGTGCTGCGCAACGCATCTTGGGTACCTTTTGGTCATCGTTTCGGTTTCAATTTGCCAATTTCAGTTCACGACATCCCGACACAATCAAATACAACGCGTGCCTTTTAGAATTTGTGATCTTCTTTACAATTCTGGGTTTGCATATCAATACAAATATAATGCTGGGGACCGTTGTTTTTTTGTTTTTTGTTTTTGGGGGGGGGGGGGGGGAGGGGGGGGGGTGGGGCTCCCATCGTACCAGAGTTTGTGTGCGAACAAACTAATGAAGAAAAATATGCACTGGGCCAATCAACCTGCTCCATCTTCTCAATCTCCTAGGCTTCTTATATAATTTCTGACCAGGGATGGTCACGCTGCACTCTGGAGTTTATGGTAACCGGGTCGTCAGAAAGGTATGAGACGCGGCAAGCCTTACTCCTACTCCTCGGTAAGTCAAGACAAGTCCTTACGGTCGCTGGAGGTCCGTGTCTGAACGGGGGCTCCACGAGGGTGATTAGGAAACTTTATTTCAATTCTGTGCTGAGATGCACTGTAATTTGTCAATCGAAATCGAAACCATTCCACTCCGCTTCATGGCCAAAGGGGATCCATAAAGTAACGCGCGCTGTGTTAAATGCAGGGATTTTTTTAAGTAGTCTATTGAACTTTTGCACACAAAAAAGGCTTCTGCGTTTGCGGGAAAAGATGCTAGCGTCCCCAATCTGGTTGAAAGGAAACCGGCTTGCCGCATTTCAACATAGTTCTATAGCTGTTGACGGAAGGAAGAACTGCGTTGTGACTCGTGCCAGCGCACTGAGTCGCCAATGGCTGCGGGAGTTAAATTTATGAGAAAGTGGAAGTCCTATTCTTTTAGATTTCAGACGTCCAATAAATGTCCGCGAAAAGAAAAGCTTGTATAGCTGCCACAAGAAGAAGGAAATCAATATGCTCTCCATAGCAGGCTAAAAATGGCACCGCCGGACCTTCAGCTCGCACTTTGTAACGGATACGTTGATTTCGCAAACTTCTGATGACTCTTTCGTGCACTGTTAAGCCTAATTTTGCAATCGTTTTCAAGCTTTTAAGAGCGAAGTTCCAAAGTTTTTGGCGCTGTAAGCGGGCAGCTATTTTCAAATTATCAATTGACGTTCGTTACTATATGAAAATACTGCTTCCTGAGCTCACATATATCGTCAGGAAGCTTCGGCGATATTGTTTTCCTTTGTCGCGGACTGTTTTAACATTTCTGTTCAAACAGTTCGCGACTGTTTTTGCTAAAACGGTTTTGAGACGGCATGAGCACTGCGAACTGCCTCCTATGAACTAAAATTATGGCGGCGTCACGCATGCGCCGAACGCTTGGTGAGATTGGTTTATGAGATGTCAGTTTCATCGAATGACGTTGGAGAGAAAATAATCCCGGAAGAAAAAGAACAAGGGGAACAAAGACAAACACTTATCTCCAAACACAGCTAAATAACTGCTGCGCGACCGGTCGTGCAACGGTCACGTAACTGTGTTTGGAGATTTGTGTTTGTCCTTTGTCCCTCTTGTTCCCCTTCTCCAGGGATTATTTTCGTCATTCTTGTCCGGCTCGCTTGCACTTTTCCATTGATTGCATTATCGACATTTGAGCGATCGGCGAGCTGATTCGCCGATAACAGAAATATCCTTCGATGGTACTGACATGAATTTTCCCGTGTGGCAGGGAGGGGTAAAAACCACGAAAGGTAAACAATTTCACAGGCTGAGTGTTTCAATTGAAACATATGTTTTGCGAAGCAAAAATGGTGACAATTAACTGGAAGCCGTTTTATGGTGTGTTTAGGCGGCTTGCAGGATGGAAGGATGACTAGCATGATCACAATACGCAAATTAACTAATATCTGTTACTTAACTTATTTATCGACAGTTTGTTGGGCCACACTGCAAGTGCAGAATGGACGGCAATCAATTTAAAGGATATACTAAGTTTTAAATAAAAAAAGCCACCTAATGTTTACCATTTAATGAAAAAATCATACTCAAGACGGCATATACGTGGAGGTCACTCGAAGAAATAAACTTAGCTTCTTTTAAAGGAATCACATTATGTAAAAAATGATTGATTATGATAACCATGAATTAATTTTCTTATTAAGTACCCGGGAACAGCCACGCCCTCTCGGTGCTGTCACACCGAAACTTACACTCTATAAAACTCGTATCAATAGTAATGACTCTCGCAGCTCACCTCTTTCCCCGACGCAGTGAAGGCGGTGGGTCCGCTGCCCTCCCGCGTCTTCGTTGTCGGCGGCCAGCGCACCCCTCACGGCCGCGCTCCAGCGGGAGTAGGTCCCGCAACGGCGCACGAGGAACGACCGGGGCATCCTGGCTGCTCCCCAATCACGGCTGCACTGGCGCACGAGCACTGAACGCGGCGCGTCCGTCGGCCGACGTCGAGGACCTACTGCGGAGGCGGCAGCGACGCTTGTTGCCCAAGAGGAGGGGGGGCGGCCACAGCCTGCCCGATTTCGCCTTCTTCCCTCCCCCGCTGCCTCCTATCGCTGTCGCCGCTTCGAGTCCCGCTACAGCATGGAGGGCGCATCCGAGCAGCCCGCGACAGGCCCCCACCGTCATCGTTCGTGCGATGTCGCGCCGCCGCTGTTGTGGAACGCACAGACGCATGAGGGGCGAGAGGGTGCGGGTGGGGAAGAGTCGGAGGAGCCTCCGCCTCGACCAACTTGGTGGGTGCCCGTTGTGCTGCGGGGGGGCAGCAGATGGTGGCGCGGATGTGCGTACCTACCTGTGCTGGCCGCGCTCATTGCGGTGTTTCTTCTGTTTGAGAGTGCGTGTTTGTGTGCAGAGGGACGAAGGGGGGTAGGGAAGGGTGGGGGGCTGGAGTGGGGGGGAGCTGATGTACGGTTTGTATCTGACCCCCGCTCCTAGGCTACTTCAAGGAAGGAACGCTATCATGCTTCCGTATTTTTTTTATCTAGTTTTTTTTTTTTTTGTACACATTGATTGTGTCTTTTTAGAACTTGAAAATGCAACTTAGTTATTAAACATCGACTGCTAAGTATGTAACCGCAGTACCAATGCCACCTCCCTCCCGTTATCTCCGGATAAAAAAGAAGCCCGAATTCGAAATCTCAGGGGTATTGAAACCTCCAGGAGAGGGAACGCAAAATTGAATGCAGCCACCGACAACCAGAAAGTTTGCAAAATTGCATATGGTATCTCGCGCTCTCCAAACGCAATATATGGCCCTTAAATCTAACAGCGTAGACGCTGCGAGGGCACTTGTGCGAGTCTCATACCTCCGTCTTTCAATTTTAATTTTCTTATTTCTCTTTATTTTCCCTTCAGTTTCAACCTTAGAAGTGAAGGCAAGCTAGGAGCATATTAAGGTAAAGTAGTTTGAAGTTCAGATCCCAAACAACTGCAACCGTGAAATGTGCTTACTGCTGCGAAAGTATAATGGAAAAACACGTTGACCCACTAAATTTAACGGGCTGACGTCCAGCCAGCTGGCATCACAGCCAGTAGCACGCAAGGCTTCCATGAGTCCTATAACCTTCAGGACGCCACAGATGCGTCCGCAGACCAAGAAAGTATTTATGTGCTACAGCAGTGTTTCCCCGACTGTGGGTTGCGACCCCAAAAGGGTGGCGACACATTCCACTGGGGGTCGCGAGGCTGCTCAGGAATTTTAAAATTTGCCAATTTTGCCTCTTTGCAGTGACGTCGATGCAAGTACAGTATGGGTGGCAGCTCAAACTCGAGCTGGAATAGAGAGTTGCAGTGTCCAAACTCTGCACTTGTCTTGAGATGCTATGCTCAATCAAACAAGCTTACTTCAGTCATTAAGAATAATCATCCTTGCAGGCTTGCGTTTTCATTTTTCTTTCCCGGACGGATTTTGGTTCAGCTGATTCGCTCTGTCTATATTAACTGTAAAAGAAAACTCTAGTAGCGTCCATTCTGAGTATTATTGTTTATGCAGTAACATCGAAATCATTGTTGCATTGGGAAAAGCCAAGGAAGCGGAGTTACGGCACAATATCTTATATTTTTATGGGGCGGGGGTATTAGAGTTTGGGAAGCACAGTACACTCTAAAAAAATCCAGTCTCAGTCGTGACATTAAGCGATGTAAAACGTCATGCTTGCAATGCTTAATGTCACAACTCAAACTGTGTTTTTTGGTCTAAAAATATGTTTCGGGATCGTCATTCGCTGAGCTCCTCCGTAAGTTGCGGTGATTGCCTGTTCGACTGTTTTGCGGAAAAGTAAACGCACAGGCATTTTTTTTTTAATGCAGTACAGGATTGGTCGCCAAATGATCTGCAGCTCTGCAGGGGAAGGGGTACTACTTAGACGTGATTCTTGTACCTTATTGTCGTTATATCAAAAGTCGCTGAACGTTTCCGGAATATGGTACGCGTACAGAACATGTTTTTACTCGTGACGTTTTTTGACAGCAGTCGGCCTTTCAAACAAATCACTGGAGCACCTAAGTGCACGGCCGGGCCAGACAGCGACATTCTTTACTGCCTTTGTTTTCAATTTAGGAGCCATGGGAGGTTTTTTACCGCGTGGGGGCGCGACAACGCCACTCTTCTGAATATTGCCTGAACCGCTTTGAACAGCTGTTCCGACCACCGGGATTGAAACTGTGAGCCCGTGTACTCACAGGAAACAAGTATAGTGCGCTGAGTGAAATAGTTTTGGCTTGCTATTTATATGAAATACGGTGTATATAAACGCTTGTATACCTTTTTTATTATTTCTTTTTTCTAGAAGACGAATAAGTGTTGTGCGTAAGTCCCTGAAGGCAGGCGGCCTCAAGGCCTGTGGCTCTTAGAGTAACTCTATACACTCCGTGCGACGCGACTGGCGCGCCGCCGCGCGGCCGGTACCGAAGGTAGGCAGTGAGAACCCCAGAGAAAACGAAACCGAAACCGCGCCGCGTACGTTGGTACGCGTTGAAGTTGGAGTGGTGCGGATGCGCTGGTTTCACAGCATGAAGTGCCGCCTGTGTTGCGTCATTAAGTGCTTTAATAGTTACGCGTCGTTTCTCGTGGAGACAAAGTTTCACAGTTTTTCACCTCGCCGATGTTTTGTGGGACAGCGACGACGATGGAGCCGTGCCGTATGACGCGAGAAATTTGGTCTCCCGATCATGTCTGCTACTGTGTCGGCACGGCTGACATATTCTACACTGCCGCTTTGCGCTCTGCGTTTGTTTTCGTACCAGTAACGCCTACATGTGTCAGCGCCGATGGGACGAACTGAAATGCCATCCCACACTCGCGGGTATGAAGTGCCAATTTCGTTGGAGGAATGAACTTCAAAGAAGTTTCGTCCCCATCGTACGTGTTGATGATATTTCCGGACAAGTATGGCACGCAATCTGTACTTCATGAAGAAAGATTCGAACGGTAAAAAAAGTGACAAATATGGATCTAAAGAAAACAACAATGAAACTCGAAATACTGGAGATTCGACGTTCGAGTATATATGGAAGTTTATGTGGCGTGCTTTCTTTCTTGATCAGCCTCTTTTTGGATGTGGAAACGCTGACACCCCGACTTCTGTAGACAACAAATTTTTTTCTCGGCTTTAGAGCCACCTATCGCAAAGTAGTTCGAACTGGAAGTACCGTCCACTGGTCCCTTCCTACCTGTAAAGTGTGCACCTCCCACGATGAGTGGTATTATCTTGGCAGCCTTTCACGGTCAAAACTGGTTCCCATTTAGTTACGCTGCCTAAACTAAATTTTCACCTGGTTTCCCTATGCCACCTTTTTTTTGTATAATAAGTGCTGTGTCATGTTACTGTCAAGTCCAAGCACCTGTGTGCCCAAATCTGCACTTTGCACAGCCCGCTACAACACAACATTTTGGGTCCAATATTGGATATCCCGTACAGCTTTATTTCTTTATTCGTTAGAAACATAACTTTCACACCTGCTGTCTTAAAGAAACTTGGCACTCTTCGTGCACAAACTTGGTGAACATCTCACTCGCCTCCAAATATCATCGTATCAGCAGTCCTAAGTTTACAGCGACGAGCGAAATAAATTTCCCACTCGGAGCAATTATGGTAGCGGCCGTCTTGTTTTTCGGAAAATTCCTCCAACTCCTTTTTCAGCCGCAACTAGAGAAATTATCCCAGAACAGCTAAATGCCCTTCTGCCCCAGCACTCATGCAACGTCACCCTCAACTTATTGGCTCAAAAAGCAAAAGTTTCGTCCGTGCGCGCTTCCGCCGCCACAGCTTGGCATGCGAAAAGGCGCCGCAGGCTGCTGAACGCGCCTCACAGTCGAACGCCAGCTCCTCCGCTAGCGGCGCTGCGCGCGTTTTTCAAAGCGCCCCCTATAGTTCCCGCACGGAGTGTATAGGCTCTGTCTGCCGAGCCAGAGTATCGCGTTATTTTTCCTGTCGTCGCCAAATCCGTGTTGCCGAAAAAGCCGTCACGTGCACCAAGCTGGATCCAATTTTCGTGCGGCAAAGCGACCTTGCAGGCACCGAGTCTCGGGCGGATCATGTTTCTCGCTTTGCTTTTGCGAAATATACATCCTACACTGAAATAGGAGAAACTAAAGGGTTCCTTGACCGTTCGACATTACGTGTAGCCACGGATGTAGTATAATCGCGTTGTCCTTATAACGCGAGCGATGTTTTAAAACATGTTTTTAAAGGACGACACGAAGGACGATCGCGTAGCTCGCGCATCCGGGGCTCTTGCAGAAGCGACAGTCGCTTCCCGCAGTGCGGCCTTGAAACAAATATGGCCGCCCTGGTAGAACCATTGCAGTGCTCTCCTCCGCAAGGCTGAGCATTTACAGAAGTCCTAGTAGCTCTAAGTCGTCTGGAAATTCCTCCACTTCATCCCCGGAGCCAATACGCCAACGTGGTGAGGTTAGGGTGTCTTGCCAGAACGAGTCAAAGCGCAGTAGCCTCCTACAGCGCTTTAACTCGTTCTAGCAAGACACCCTAATCTCACAGCGTTGGCCTATTGGCTCCAGGATTGAACTGCGCTGCGACCCCACAGAGCTGCGGTGGCAGAGAGAAAGAATACACCAATTCGTGTTTACAAACAAACCGGAGCGCCCCTAGCGGACGCCACCTGCGCTGCGCATGCACGATGGAGTGTGGGCGAGAAGCTCGCCCTCGCCCATAAACACACCATTGAATTGCGATGTTGTCGTCAAATACTTTATTAGGGGCAATACATTCACTCCTCTCAAATACAATAGCCTCGGTGCGGAAAGGTTTTCTGGGCTTGGCGAGAGCCATCTATCGTCGGGGAGGTCTCTGCTATCGGGCGGTAAATGATGCTGATGATGATATTCGTTCTACATTTCAAATTTATTGTTCTGGAAATGCTCCAGACACGTGCCGCGCGCCACTTCAAGGAAGAACATGGCGTCTAAAATCTAGCTCAGTGCTGCGCCAAATACTTTGCTGCGCTGTGCCGCCATGATTTTCCCAAGGATTGCACGTTGCACGTGCCTCGTGCATCGACGCACCTTGCGCTACTTTTAAACATGAAGGGGCTTTAGGTGGAATCGGAGACGACACCGCTGCGGCCGCCGCGGACATCCACGTGCACATGCGCGTGGACTGATACGGACCTCCACTCCGTCAGGGCTGGATTCGGCGCTGTAGGCGT